AAAAGACAATGGGAAGCCTTTCCCCATTTGCCTCCCTTACTGCAGAGGAATATTTGAGGTCATTGGGAGAGTCAAAATGGCTTCAGGATTGCTCTCCCATACTGTTTCAGACACATGGGTCATATATTTAGGTATGTGTGCACTTATGAATATTTATTCTATATTTGAGACCTTAAAATTCTTATAACAAGGGCAATTTGCGCAAAAATGCTCGCGAATTTAAGATTGGAAAAATAAGAAACTGACAGAACCAAAACAGATATATCCTTCCTTGGTAGGGAGCCATGATTATTTAAAAACTAAACAAGACAGGGAAAAGAAAACAAGTAATGTATGGGTGTATCAAACTATCCTCCACCACTCCAGAAGCAGTTGTTCAATATAATTCTGCATGAAAGAAAACAAAAGACAATTCATACATGTCTCTCTATTGGGTGAGCTCATTGCACTTCTTCAAAATCAACTTTGAAAACCACTGGACCTGGAAAAAAAAGGAGCTGAGGCGTAGAACAAAACATGTCCGTTCATTGAATTAAAATCAATTGCTTTTTGTTTTTATTCCTTTGATTGCAAGCAGCTTCTTTTAATTGTACCGGGGAGGGAGTGTGTAACCCTCTGGAGAGGCAAGAAAACAGTTGTTGAGTATCACATACATTGCTGCCTACCTGATAAAACGAGTGTTCTCCTCTGTGGCTGGATTACAAAAAGGGGTGTTGGGGAGGGAATCAATGCTCTCAAAAGTGTGATGGAAGAAAATCAGAATTGACCTCAGGGGAGTTCCAGAGGCAATAAAACCTTCTAAAGTTCATGGGGAAAGCTGTGCACCCTTTCACAGCACTGCTGTTAGCAAAGCGACCTGACTGCTAAGTGATGTTTAATTATTAAGCGATAAGATTCTCAACTCTGCCCTGAGTCTTTTCAAAGGCAAGCAGACGCTTTGGCTCTGCAAAATGATGTTCTCTCTCAAGGATTCTGTAGCATTTTGCTTGCTGGGGATGATTGCTTGGGGAGCAGGGATGGCTGTTAGCTACCAGCTGCCGATCCCCTTGACCAGAGGCAGATTTAGGGGAGCATGACCGGTTCGGTCACACTGGGCAAGGAGCCTCAGGGGCTCTGTAGGAGATGCTGCGATTATTGTTTAGAATGGAGTGCAAGATGCAAAGGGGTGCTGAATTTTTGCACCCCGCAAGGTGCCACTGAAATTTGAGACGCCAAGGTTCACCACTGCCTTGACTCAGATTCAAGGGAAGCAGTTAGGCAGTTCTGAATGGCGCTCCAAATAAGCAAAACACTTGCAAATTTAAAAGACATAAACACAAACTAATGAAATATCTGCTAACCTATCTGAAAATAGTAAACTCATCTCATGTGGAAAGTGGGAAAAGCTGCTTTCTGCAACTTCTGACAGTTATGGGGAACTGGCCATATCACAAAACATTTCTTTAGGTGGGTGGGAGGTGGAATTCAAGCAGATATTATCAATGTAGCTTTGCACAAATAAAGTTAGAGGGCTGTGTTGCCCTCATATAACAAATCAACTTCAGAAAAGTAATGGTCTTTTGGGGTTGTTGCCAGCTAAATTCTACTCAGAGTAGAACTAAAATACACCCATCCTTCAAAATTCACATTTATCCAAAATTTTGCAATATGGTTCTCTAACCAATGTTTCCAAAAATGCATATATTAAGGGAAAGTGTTCACAAAAATGAAGATAGTAGTGAAAATGCATACAAAAAATGAAGCACAGTATGTCAATGGAAATTACTTGCAAAAATGTATGTTTGTCAAAAATCCACATAAAATGCTTTGATTGGGAGAAATTTGCCCTAAAAAGCTGGTGAATTTTCATGAGCATGAAGCAAAAGAAGAAGAGAGAAGCGGCAAAATGTGGAAAACTAAATTGTAAGACTGGAAGAATGAAAAAATCAGAGAAACGATACCAGCAGATCCTTCCATCTCAACTGACAAAGCTCCTTGGCACAGATGCTTGCAAAACAGAGTTTGTCTGGCCAGATGTGCGTAATCGGCCAGTTCTGTTCCTAAGGATGTGATTGATGGCCAGACTGTGTGGTGGGTTTTTTTAAAAAAAATGTATTTATAATGGTAAATATCATAGTGGTGTACAATGCAATCATTATAAAATCATATTCGTGGTCCGCTAGAAAAAATAGGGATTTGGTAATAAAGCAATGCATTATTGAAAAAGCATAGACTCAATATTTCTCAGCTTGAAGCTATCCTAATATTAAATATTAATATTAAACACAGGAAAATGAAGGCTGTAAATGAAAGGCCAAATAAATAAGTAAATTAAAAAAAACTCTTAAAAAAAGAAAAGCAAAGGAAGGAAATAAGTTCAACCCTGGAATGAATGACATTAAAGAAATCTCCTGTTGGGAAAAGAATTTTCAGCTCTGGCTCATAATTTAAATATATGGACTGCTAGCTTTTAAAAAAAAATAATGGCTCCCATATTGCCTAAGCTTAGACCCCACTCATTGCTATTTGTTGCATTTCTGTGATGTCATGGAATGTTCACAAACACTAACTGCTGTGCAGAAAAAGCATCATCCATTGAAATTTGACAGACAAGGGAGGGCAGTGCCTTCCTTCCTTCCTCCCTTCCTTTTCTTGCAGATATTCGCGTAAGAACCTTTTACAGAACAGAGGATGGATTCCCATCAGCCAAACACTGAAGGAGTGTGAGACCCCCATGCAAAAAGATGGGGAAATGGTAGACATAAAAAACCCACCTCTTATTGTGCAACTGACAGATTCTGTCGCTGAAGGGATTTAGCCAGCATCTTCTGAACCTCTAGGTCCAGCATTTCAGTGACAGGATTTCTCAAATTGGAGAAAGAGGAAGGATCTGGTCTGAAAAGGACCACAGCTCAGTATGGTTTAAAACCTGTTTTGCAGGTAGACATTCAGAGCTTCAGTCTCTTGCATTTTCAGGTAGGACTGGGAATGTCCTGCACCTGTAGTCTTGGAAAGCCACAGCCGGTCAGTGTCAACAATACTTTAAAAAGAAATTGTTGCACCATTTTTCCAAAATATAACAAATGGCAGCATGGTCAAGCCCCCTGCTGTTGTTACGGAAATGCCTCTCCATGGGACATTTGGTTTTTCCCTCCCCTGGCTGGAGAAGTGTTCAAGGAAGTTTGCCTTATCCTGAGCCAGACCATTGGTCCACCTAGCTCTATACTGTCTACACCAATAGAAGGAGGAGGAGGAGGAGTAGGAGGAGGAGTTTGGATTTGATATCCCGCTTTATCACTACCCAAAGGAGTCTCAAAGTGGCTAACATTCTCCTTTCCCTTCCTCCCCCACAACAAACACTCTGTGAGGTGAGTGGGGCTGAGAGACTTCAGAGAAGTGTGACTAGCCCAAGGTCACCCAGCAGCTGCATGTGGAGGAGCGGAGACGCGAACCTGGTTCACCAGATTATGAGTCTACCACTCTTAACCACTACACCACACAGGCATTTGGACTCTGCAGGATTTCAACTGGAGGGCAACATGTTGGGAAAGACTACTCTGAATCCTTTTTCAATTCCGTTTCATGCTCCAAATTGCAACATAGCTGACAATTGCCCCCATCACAAATGGGGAAGCAGAGAAGAGGCGGGCTCACCACTGTGCTGAAAGCATTGTGCACCCAGTAAACATTAAGAAATTGTTGTTTAGCTACTCGGCAAATCTCCAAGGTCAGCAAAGCAAACATTTCACCGCTGACAAATCCTACCTGGGCCAGCCTTCTGAATGATATCTGTCTCATATTTCAGCCACAGAATCCTTTGCCAAGCAAAAAGCTCTGCTCACAAATAATACTACAAACATTTTATAGCTTTGGGTTGGGTTTTTTTAATTATTTATTTGCAAGATTTTTTTCCCCCAATGCAAATGATAAATATTTCTGACAACACTGTAATTAATTTATCCAACCCACCAGAAGATGGAAAAGTCCAGTGGACTTGTTTTGGGGGTGTTTTCGTTTGTGGGAACAGTCTGGGTTTTGTTTCTTTTAATGCAGAACTGCAGAGTCTACTGCAATAGAAACAGCTTTTTAATTATTGCAACAAATCAAGGGGTAGCACCTCACTATTTGTCTGCATAAGCCTTGCATTCAAAGCTCCCAAGAAGGGGGTGTTGGGAGAATTGATTTGTGCTGGAGGTCTGTTCAGTTCGAGCTGAGTAAACTGAGAAGAACTTCCATTTAATTCAATTTATTCTAAATAAATTTCATTCAAATTGGAAAAGAAGCTAATTGCCTCTATGTCTCAATTTTGTAGCGCTGAGTGCAGAGATGGCAAAAAAAAACCCAAACAAACCTGGTGTGTTTTTTTATGAGGATCATTTATTTTTAATTATTCTTTATTATGCAGTTTATAAACACAATAACATTAAGTGTATAATGGCAATGATAAAAGGATTAAAGATTTTCAAAGCATATGATGAGATAAGTTCGACAAATTCCCATTATACATATTTTTACCAGAAGATTCCAAATTTCAGCTGAGATCATCCTTCTAAAATTGACCCTAATTGAGTTACAGCACATACCGATGTATTTGCACATGGTGCAAAACAGTGACAAATAGCAAAAGCGTTGTCAGTTTCTGTGGTTTTATGTACTGTATAGATCTAATTTTATAGGCAAGTTCCTCCATGGGTGCCGTATCAAGGGATCAAGGGAAGTAAGGGTCCTACTTGATTTGCCTTGGTCAGATGCCACCTAGAGTACTGTGTCCACTTCTGGGCACAACAGTTGAATATTGGGCACAATATTGACAAGTTGGAACATGTTCAGAAAAGGGTGACCAAGACTATCAAGGGTCTGAAAACCAAGCCTTACAAGGAAGGGTTCAGGGAGTTGGGTATGTTTAGCCTGGAGAAGAGAAGACTGAGAGAGGGAAATGAGAGGCATCTTGAAATACCTGGAGGGCTGTCGCATGGAAGATGGAGCAAGCTTGTTTTCTGTTGCCCCAGAGGGTAGGACAATGGATAGCTCGTTTGGTAGAGCATGAGACTTTTAATCTCAGGATCTTGGATTTGAGCCCCACGTGGGGCAAAAGATTCCTGCATTTTCAGGGGGCTGGTCAAGATGATCACTGTGGTCCCTGCCAACTCCTTCCATGATTCCATGAAACTGCAAGAAAGTAGCTTCTGGTCAAACATTAGGAAGAACACTGGAATGGTCTCCTTTGGAAAGTTGTGGGCACTCCTTCATTTCAGGTTTTTAAAGCAGAGGTTTGATAGCCATGTGTCATAGCTTCTTTATCTGCATTGCAGAGGGATGGACTAGATGAACCTTGGGGTCATTTCCAAATTGGCAATTCTATGTTTCTATGCCATATTTTTTTAAACAAACCAACCAATTATAGTTTTATTTTCATTATACTTTAAAATTCTCTCTGCAACACAGCCAGGAGGAAATGACACTTCTCAAAAAGAGGGGAAGTATAAGCTTACCCTTTGAGCTGGGTTTGTCTTCACTCTCCCTTCTTCAGAGCCAAGAAATGTGAGCCTTGGCAGAACTATTACCATGGCCTTGACAATGACCTCTACCTTTCCATCGTAACACAGCCAAGCCAGGGCAAATCTGGCAGGTTTGATTCCCTCCCCAACCCCCAAACCTCCAAAATGTTTATTCTATGTGACTGTGTTGCTTACATAATGTATTGTTAAGTCTTAAGAGCATTTGAAAACAGACTGCAAGTTGTTCAATAGTCCAGATTCTAGCTGTGTATTATTGCTGTCCATTGTCAAGACTCGAAGATGCTACTCTGTGAAAAAGCACTTTAACACTATGAAAAGGCAATTTTGCCACATTTTTGCTGGCAGCGGAAGACCTCAGTGAGTTCTCCTGTCCAGCACACAAGTCTATTCAAACAAATGCTTGTCTCATCCACACTTCTTATTTTGAACTGCGCACTTTAAAAAGGGGGTTGTTGTTGTTGTTTTAGTTACAGTGCAAAGTTCTCAGAAATACATAGATGGTCCAACCTAGGGCTCTATCTCCAGCGGTTTCCAACAGATGCCTTTAGAAAGCTTGCAAACAGCACATAGTGAGAGATTTATTTTCTATAATTAGTCCCAAACATATGGAAACTGGAGATAAAAAAATTGTAAACCTCGAGGTTCCACTCGTCGAATTTCCAATTAATCAATACTTTAAAACTGTGTTAGTGACTTGGAATGTTTCTTAAAGCAGAAGGTGTCCAAATTCAAGTTGCTAAAAAAGGGGTTGGGGAAAATTAAGAAACCCCAAGCCCCATCAAAGAGATTCCTGTAAATCAGTGCCCGCAGGGGGCACAAAACAGACTTATTAACCAAGTTGCAGAAAGAACATCCAGCCCCTGAGTGGCGAGCACCATGTGCAAGGCAGCTGGGCCCAGCTACTGCAATGCACCATGAAGCTTCAATGAGTTCTCTGTGTCCTAAGCTTCTCGGTGTGAGGCAAACATCCTCATCAGCTGAAATGCCAAATGCAACCCTGCATCACATAGCCAGGACCATTTCCAAAAGCAGCAGACAGGAGATTGGAAGCACATTTCAAACCATGGGGAAATGGCATTTTTGTCATGGTCCTAAGAACATCAGAAGAACCCTGGTGAATCAGGCCAAATGCCTAGCGAAGCCAGCATCCTGCTTCCACAGTGGCTGACCAGATGCCTCTTAGAAGGCCACCAGAAGGACATCTCTTCTCCATACTGGTGCCCCCCAGCATTTTAAAGCCCTCCAAGTTTATGGCCATCACTACAACATGTGATAGTGCATCCTACGGTTTAACTATGTGCTGTGGGAATAAGGCCTTTCTTTTGTATATGTGGAATCTTCCAACATTCATTGGAAGATCCTCATTGGCTTCTAGCTTTAGGAGAGAGGGATTAAAACTGATCTCTGTTCACTTTGCCCACTCCATGAACCATCTTCTACAGCAAAGACTACAGATGCTATTGGACTCCAACTCCCTTCAGCCCCAGCCAGCATGGCAAATAGCCAGGTATGATGAGACTTGGAGTCTAGCAACATCTGGAGGACCACATGTTTCTCTGTCCCTGATCTAAGAAGTAGCATTCTCCACTGCATGCAAGAATAGTGTCTCTACTTAGAAAAGGCATTCCCTCCGTAGAGCATGGAATGTCTCCTCTAAGAGCAGAGGTGGGGACCTCTGTGGCCCTCCAGGTGTTTTTGAACTCCACCTTCCATCAGCCCCAGCCAGCATGGCCAGTGATCAGGCCTGATGGGAGCTGAGGTCCAGCAACACCTAGAGAGACAGAGGTTTCCCATCCCTGTCCTACAGCTTCCTACATCCAAGAGCAGAAAACCCAAAGCCACTGGGAAGTGCACAAAGAAGGCATGAAGCAGCGGTGAGGAACCTGCGGTCCTCCAAACGTTACTAGACTACAGTTTCCATTATCACTAAATATTAGCCAGGCTGGCTGGAGCTGATGGGAGTTGGAGTCCAACAACACCTGGAGTCCCCCATTGCCAGCCTTTCCCACTTGACTGCCACCATTGCCAGCCTTCCCCACATTGCCAGCCCCATCACTAGCCTTTCCCACTTGACTGCCACCTGTTGTTGTTTAGTCGTTTAGTCGTGTCCGACTCTTCATGACCCCATGGACCAGAGCATGCCAGGCACTCCTGTCTTCCACTGCCTCCTGCAGTTTGGTCAGACTCATGTTTGTAGTTTCAAGAACACTGTCCAACCATCTTGTCCTCTGTCGTCCCCTTCTTCTTGTGCCCTCAATCTTTCCCAACATCAGGGTCTTTTCCAGGGAGTCTTCTCTTCTCATGAGGTGGCCAAAGTACTGGAGCCTCAGCTTCACAATCTGTCCTTCCAGTGAGCACTCAGGGCTGGTTTCCTTCAGAATGGATAGGTTTGATCTTCTTGCAATCCATGGGACTCTCAAGAGTCTCCTCCAGCACCATAATTCAAAAGCATCAATTCTTCTGTGATCAGCCTTCTTGAATTGAAGGCGGGGGAGATTGTCGAAGGCAGTTTTGGTCTCTGGACGGGTGTCACTTTCCCCATTTCAAACCTGAGACACAGATGTTTGATGCCGCTCCACTAGGCTGCAAGGCATGCATCTTAGTTAACACAGGCAATTTTATGAATCATGTAATTAACGAGCAGCTCTAATGAACTACCATTCATTTAATGAATACCCTTCATTTTTCAACCTCAGAAAGTGCATCGGGAGAGGGAGGAAGGAGAAAATGAATCAAAAGCAGAGAGAGATTAAAATTCGCTCACCAACAGCACAGATTTGCTCTTTAATCAGGAAAATATGGTGATAATTAAGTGCTTATTTTTCAATTAAGAAAAACTTTGCTAGCTAGAGAAATGGAAAGAGTTGCTCTCTCCTGCCGCTGTAAGCTAGCTAAGTTCAAGTTCAAGTTTATTGCGGCCAAAGCCAGTGACACTAAACATCCCAAGATCAGACAACAAGAAATCAGCAACAACTTCAGAAAAGAAAAAAGGTTACACAAGGGAACTTCGCAGTGTGCCATTCAACAGAAGAGATTTACGTTTCTTAATTACTAAAGTGCAAAATTTAGCCACCTCATATGATACTGAGCTTGAGGAATCTTCCAGGAGGTATTTTCGAAGAATTTCAGGGGAGGATTCCAAATAATATTGAAGGGGTATAAATTTTGATAGAAGCGGTAAAATAAGTTGAGCTCGTTCTTCACTATAGAATTCGCAAGATAGAAGAATGTGTGTGACAGATTCTACCTTATTAGACATACAAGGGCAGAGACGCGCATGCATTGGAACCCGCGTGAATTTGCCGTACAGCACTGCTGAGGGCATTGTCTCAAAGCGGGCTCTAGAGAAAGCCCATCTATAGGCTTCGCTAGTGATGTTGGTTAAGTAAGGGCAGCTGTAAAATTAGGCCAAGCTTTTAAACATCTATACGTCTCTGGGAGTAGGGCGCCTTCTTGTTGTAATTCGATATCATAAAGTCTCCGAGTAATAGTAGCTTTTGCCTTGTTCAGAGTTCCAATAAAAATATTTTCAGGGTTTAGGCCAATTTGTTTGATCTTGTTAGTTATTTGCATAAGCCAAGGAGGATAGGGAACTGCGGCCAGGAAGCAAGGTAATAGACCCTTAGGATTGTAATGGATTTTCAGCCAGAGGGATATTGCTTGTTCCCAGACTTTTAATTCCACTCTGGGCAATCCTGCCTCTTGCCTTAAGACTGCATTAGGTGTACACTTAGGGGTAGCAAATAATGATCTTAAGAATTTAGATTGTACTGTTTCAAGGGTCTTAAGGTTGGCAGAGGGGCTAATTTGAGAGCCATATAGAAGTTGGGCTAAAGATTTTGCCTGAAAGACTGTTAGGGCCATCGGGAGGAAGCCAGCTCCTTTCCTTCTGAATAATCTAAGGATAGCATTTGCACTTCTTTCTGCTGATATAGCTGATGTGGTCAAGTGTGCTGAGAATTTGGCATTATAAGAGAAAGTAATGCCTAAATATTGGAAGGTCTTAGTCTGTTCAATGGCGTTTCCTTTACGCTCCAATTATCCTTCCTGAAGGAGCGGTTAAAATGTACAATTTTGGTTTTGGCAAAGTTAATTGTTAGCAGTTCAGTGTTACATTGGTCACTAAACTTTCCTAAGGCACGTTTCAGACCCACTTTGGTTTGAGAGAGAAGAACAGCGTCATCCGCATACATTAAAATTGGTACTTTTCTGCCATTAGAGAACACAGGGGGGTGGGTTTCAATTTCACGGCAGCATGTGACCAGGGAGTTAACATAGATGTTAAATAGGAATGGGGCTAATAGGCATCCTTGTCTAACTCCTCTTTGGACTGGGATTTCTCTAGAGAGTCTGCCGTCCTGTGCAAATCTTATCTGGAGGGTATTGTTCTCATGAAGCTTAATCATCAGAAGTAATAACCTTCTGTTAATACCCATATTGGCCAATTTGGCCCAGAGCCTGCTCCTAGATACAGAATCAAATGCTGCCTTTAGGTCCACAAAGGCCGCATATAATGACTTTTTCCAATATTTCGCATACTTATAGACAAAGTAATCTAACACTAAGCAGTGATCAATGGTGGAACGTCCGGATGTAAACCCTGCTTGTTCAATTTCTAGCAAGTTGTTATGATCTAACCATTCCCATAATTTTAGGCATAGATGTTTTGTATAAAGTTTACAGATCACATTCAGGAGACTAATTGGTCTATAATTAGATGGATCAGAGGGTTGCCCTTTTTAAATATGGGAACAATTATAGCTAGTCCCCAATCTTTAGGGATTTCAGTTGTCTTGTCTATATATGAAAATAGATTTGCAAGGACCGGGGCCCACCAGTTTATTTGCGCTTTCAAAAGTTCAGTGCCGCTGTAAGAAATGGGTGAGGTGTGGAGAGCCAGCTTTGAAGCAAGGCAAGCAACAAGGGCAGGGAAACGGCTTTAAATCACCGAGAAACCAAATCAGCCCATTGATCCATTGATACCAATATTGTCTACCCTGATTGGCAGTGGCTCCTCAAGGGAGAGTTTGTGCCTTAGATCATTTAACCCAGGAGTGCCTAATCTCCAGTTTGAGGGGTGTGATTTGGGGCTGTTGTGCTGAATGGAAGCATATGGCCTTCTTTACCCTTGAAGGTCAGACGGAGAAGTGGGAGGTGATGGCTTTGCACCTATCCCAGGACGAAACAGACACCATGCAAGTGCACAGATACATGTCAGGGTGTCATGTCGATTCACATCAAGGGAGGGAGATGGGGTTCTAAAAGCTTGCTCTATTTTCTGCCAGCCCTTTACAAATTCCCCCACCCCAGTAATGATAATTTTAGACACACACATGCACACACCTGCAATGCCAAGGGGTGTGGAGACCGAAAACAGTTCAGCCACCCTACCCAAAGCCTTGATAGACTCAAGGATGGTACCAGAACTCACTGGGACAACCCAATAATACCGAATATGGGAAGGTTCAAGACAAATAAAAATGAAGTACTTCACACAGTGCATAGTTGGACTATGGAATCTGCTCCCACAAGAAGCAGTGATGGCCACCAACTTGAATGGCTTTAAAAAGGCATCACACAAATTCGTGGAGGAGAAAGCTATCAATGGCTACCAGCCACAATGACTATGTTCTACCTCAACTGTTAAGGCTGTATGCATCTGAGCACCATTTGCTAGGAATCACAGGTGGGGATAATGCTGCTGCCCTTGAGTCCTGCTTGTGGGCTTCCCAGAAGAGGCATCTGGTTGGTCACTGTGAGAACAGGATGATGGACTAAACTGGCCTTTAATCTGACCAGTCAGTTGGGTTCTTCCAGTGTTTTTTATCTGGACTCCCCTTTATCTGGAATTCCCTAAGGTCTCTAGGGGACCTTAGCAGTAACAACAACAACAACAACAATTTATTATTTATACCCCCCCCCAATCTGGCCAGGCCTCCCCAACCACTCTGGGCGGCTCCCAACAGAGTATTAAAACACGATAAAACATCAAACATTAAAATCTTCCCTAAACAGGGTTGCCTTCAGATGCTTTCTAAAATTCAGATAGTTGTTTATTTCCTTGACATTGGATAGGAGGGCATCCCACAGGGCAGGCGCCACCACCGAGAAGGCCCTCTGCCTGTAACCCCCCCTTCTCACAGTGAAGGAACCGCCAGAAGGCCCTCGGAGCTGGACCTCAGTGTCCAGGCAGAATGATGGGGGTGGAGATGCTCCTTCAGGTACACTGGGCTGAGGCGGCCCTCTGCCACCATCGTGTTCAGGCAAATGTGGTTGGGGAAACTGGTTGCCTGTTTGGTTCATCTGTCTCAAGAAGAATAGTCAGAGATTCCGACTGAACATCAGGAAGAACTTTCTGACTGCAGGAGCTGTTCAACAGTGGAATGGTCTCCCACAGGAGGTTATGGGCTCTTCTTCATTGGAGGCTTTTAAGCAAAGGTTCGATGGCCATCTGTTATAGATGCTTTAGTTGAGATTTCTGCATTGCAGGGGGTTGGACTTGATGGCCCTTGCGGTCCCTTCCCGCTCTATGATTCTATAACCACGGAAATCTGTTTTGGAGCCTCCTTGTGCTTGTTATTCTCCACCACACATCTCAGCTGTTTCAAGCTAATCATGAATATTTTACATCAGAGGGAAGAGATGAAAAGAGAAGGCAAAATGGGAGAGAGGGAAAGTACTTAGGAGGCTGCCCTTCGTGCTAGAAAACAGAAGAGAAGGGACGCTGACCGGAGCCTCTAGTTCTTTGTACTTGCCTTTCCTAACTCCGTAAATGGCAAATTAAGGAGCTTCAAAGCTGCTCTGGGACCTGAGGAATGCACACTGCGCTCCCTTGAAAGTGATAGGAATGGAAGGGGAAATAGCATAAAGAACCCATCATGCTATTTGGATACACTGGAGAGATCCAGTGTAGTTAAAGTGTTGGGTCTACATGGGTAGACCAGGGTCAAACTCCCTTGGCCATGATACTGCCTGGATGACCTTGGGCCAGTCACTGCCTCTCAGCCTAACCTTCCTCCCAGGGTTGTTGTGGGAATTAAATGAGGAGCGGAGAAAACCATGTACACAACACTGAGCTTCTTGGAAATAAGATGGGGTATAAATGCAATAAAAACATAAATACATAAATACATAGTCCAACCCCCTGCAATGAGGACTATGCAGCTGTCCCATACGGGGATCGAACCTGCAACCTTGACGTTATCAGCACCATTCTCTAACCACACTTGTGAAGAAATAGATCTCTTAGTACACTGGAGCTCCTGCCTATTATTATTAGATGGTCACATTCATTATACAGTTTTCAATGCTCCCTAAACACTCCCCTCCCCCATTTAGGCATGTCTAAATAAGCATGTAATTTTATTATGTGCATTTTGAAAAAACAAACATGTTGGTTTTATCTATATTGTGGTGGTCTTATTATCCCTACTTGTTTTTAAAGTCTGTTTTCAATTGCAGTTTTTCAAATGGATATTTCGTGCCATTTCATGTAAACTGCTTAGGGATATTTGTGCAATTAAGCAGTACATAGCTGTCAGGGAACTGCCATCGGAAGGAAGGGAGGTGAAAGGACTCAGACAGGTTGGAAGAGATTCAGCAGCTGAAGAGGGAACCAGCAAGGGAGAGAAGCTGAACTGAGGGAGGTGAAAGGGCTCAGACAGGTTGGAAGAGACTCAGCAGCGGAAGAGGAAACCAGCAGGGGAGAGAAGCTGAACTGAGGGAAAGGGAGCTGGGGGATGGCTCAGAGATACTTCCAGCGAAAACAGTGGTGAGGTTTCCGGACCTCCTGTAGCGACACCCACTCCTCGCCGGAAACTGTCACGCAGAGAGTCCAGAAGACGTGTTTCCGTTAAGGAGCTTTTATGTTGGAAGCGATTACGAAAGCAACCACTGTCGGAATCTTCTAGTGACTAGAGGAGCCATGTCAGAGGGCTCAGTCACAGACAGAGGTTTGTGGACTTGAACAAACTCTGAGGGAATACGATTTTACGCACAAGCAGCTCATAATCCCATCACAGCATTCCGACAGTCTTTGAACGCAGCTTGTGCAGGAGAAGGCATAATGAGCAACCCAGCAGGAACCGGAGAAGCAGGGGCTGGAGCGGGTCCAAGCCTGGAAGAAAGGTACCGGGTGTTGGAGGTCCAGCTGGCGCTGCAGACGGCGAGGCTGGAGGAGAGGAGGGCTCAAGATGCAGACAAAGGGAGAAAGCCACCCAGCTCGCCAGAAAGGTACCAGGATTGGTGCAGAAATTTGGGGGGGAGCCCAAAGACTATCATAGCTTTCGGACAGAAATGCAATATGCCCTCAATCTGCAGTTTGATGATTTCCCTGATGAGGAATCACGAGTGGCTTTTGTGATTGGGCATCTTGAAAAGGGGCGAGAGACGGGGTTAGACCCGTGCTGGCAGCGCATAGTGACGTCCTAAAGGACACGATGAAGTTCTTTCGCGCCATGGATCTGATGTTTTCCCGCGCTATTGAAAAGGAGTGGTGCGCAGACAGTTAATGGCTTGCAAACAGGGAGCCGATCTGTACGTGAGTACTGGACTGAGTTCACCATGCTGATACACAGATTGGGGTGGGACTTATCGGCGGAACCCATTCAAATGCTCTTTGAAGAAGGGCTTTCTTCGGCTGTGAAAGATGAACTTTCCCGGGCGCCCAGGGCGGAGTCTATGGACCAGCTGACCAAATCAGCGCTGGCCATAGGAGCGCGCCAGGAGGCGAGAGCATTGGAGAGGCGGGAAGGGAAGGGGAACGTTGGAAGGAGTTCCGCATTCCAGACATTCCAGAGCCAACTGTCCCGCCGGCAGAGCCGATGGAAATCGGAACAGCGCGCGCGCGCAGTTTCAAAGCCCAGTGAGGGGGGAAAGAAGGATGGAAAAGGCGCCCGGAAATGCTATCTCTGCCAACAGCCAGGGCACTTTGCCAGAGTCTGCCCCCAGAGGAAGGAATGGCAAGGGATGGTGGGAGCTGTGGAGGGAAGAGAGGAAAAAATACCGGAGCAACTAAAAGCCAACGCCTGGCTGCCATTGTCGGGGCACAGCAGCCAGGCCAAAGAGCAGTGAAAGTGCCCACTCCAGAACCTCCTAAACCCGCCCTAGTGATAGAAGTGACACTAGAGCTGCCAAACGGACACCCTCTAAAGATAAAGGCGCTGTTGGACTCAGGCAGCTCCTGCAATTTCATGAGCAAAGAGTTTGCAGCTGAACACCAGATACAGACGCTCCCTTTAAGCAACCCCCTGCAGGTAACCACGATCGATGGCAGGGAGCTGTTGGGAGGAGAAGTCAGCTTGCAGACCGTCCCAATGATAATGAAGGTGGCAAGGCACACCGAACTAATAGCATTTAATGTGGCCACCTTGGGAGGAGCTCCCATTATATTGGGGATGAGCTGGCTAGCGTTACATGATCCGCTGGTGGGCTGGCATCAAAGAGTGGTTTCTTTTGGGTCAGCACATTGCTTAGAACATTGCAAAGAGGGAAGGGTTTTGGCAGGGGCCCAAGCCACTCTAGCAGGGACTGAAGTGACGGAGAACGTGAAGGTACCACGACAATACGCAGATCTCCGCGACGTCTTCAGCGAAAGGGAAGCTGACCAACTACCACCGCATAGAGCCTTTGACTGTCAAATCAATTTGCTCCCTGGGGCACAGCTCCCTGTGGGCAAGCTGTACGCCATGTCAGACAGAGAGATGCAGGAGCTAAGAGAGTTCATTGACAAGAACCTGAAGAGAGGGTTCATCAGAGAGTCCAGGGCGGTGGGGGCAGCCCAGTGTTTTTGTGGACAAAAAAACACGAACAAGCCGAGACTGGTGTGTGACTTCAGGGCCTTAAATGCAGTGTCAGAACCAGTGGCCTTCCCGATGCCCAGGATTGACGACATTTTGACAAGGGTGCGGAAGGGAAAGATTTTTACCAAGCTGGATCTAAGGGGGGCGTACAACCTGATACGAATAAGGAAGGGGGATGAATGGAAAACCACCATGTTCACCCCTTTAGGGGCATTTGAATACTTAGTTATGCCCTTCGGTCTACAAGCAGGCTCCGCAACATTTCAATCGTTTATGAACCACGTCCTGGGGCCGTTGCTTTACAAGAATTGTGTGGCCTTCTTAGACGACGTGTTGGTGTATTCTGAGAATGAGGAGCAGCATGTGAGAGACGTCAGAGAAGTGTTGAGCAGGCTGCAAGCCAGCCAGCTGTGGGTGAAACTGGAGAAGTGTCAGTTTCATACCAAGGAGGTGGAATTCCTGGGGTATCGCCTGTCTGACAAGGGGTTGGCCATGGATCCCGACAAGGTCCAGGCGGTACTGGAATGGAAAACACCCAAAACAAGGAAGGATGTGCAGAGGTTTTTAGGGTTTGGGAACTTCTATCGTAAGTTCATCCCAAACTTTGCCCACCTGACGGCGCCCATTACGGACTGTCTCAGCAGTAAGAAGAAGTTCGTTTGGACGGAGGAGGCGGAGCAAGCATTTGAGGAACTAAAAGGGCCTTCGCCTCGGAACAACAGCTCCTGCATGTGGATTTACAAAAACCGATGAGAGTGGAAACTGACGCATCAGACAGAGCGGTTGGGGCGGTGCTTCTCCAGCCAGGGAAGGAGGAGTCAGAGTGGAGACCGTGTGCTCATTTTTCGCGACCGCTGAACCAATCCGAGACGAACTACACGGTGTATGACCGAGAACTACTAGCCATTCATGAGGCGTTCCGGAGATGGAGGCACCTGCTAATTGGCGCACAACATAAGGTGCAAGTGTGCACTGACCACAAGAACCTAGAGTATTGGAGGACGGCACGAGTGCTCACACAACGGCAAGTGAGATGGGCCCAGGAATTCTCCAAATTTAACTTTGAGATTTGTTACGTGCCAGGCCCAGAGAACATTAGGGCGGACGCTCTCTCACGCAAACCTGAATATTGGGAGGGGAAGGGAGCACCCGAAGAGAGACATGTCATTCCAGAGGACCGCTGGGTGTGTGGGGCGGCATTGGTGGGACAAAGAGAACTGGTAGAAGAAACAGAGAATGATGAATACGCCCAGAATAAGCTCAGAGGTCTTAGGGATGAGGGAGAGGAATCAAGGGGTTTCGAGGAAAGAAATGGAGCTTTGTATTACAAAGGGGCACTGTATATCCCTGAAGGAGACTTAAGGGGAGGGTACTCAAGCAGTTGCATGACAGCCCCACGGCAGGGCATTTTGGGCAACACAAAACCATGTGGTTGGTCACCAGGGAATTTTGGTGGCCTAAGGTGAGGGAGGATGTACGTGAGTATGTAAGAGGGTGCGAGCAGTGCCAGCGAGCCAAAGGGGAAAGGCGGGCGCCGGCGGGGCTATTAGAACCCTTACCAACACCAGAACGACCTTGGGAGGCAGTGTCGATAGATTTTATGACTGATCTGCCGAAGTCCAAAGGGAAAACAGCCATCATGGTGGTGGTAGACCTACTAACAAAGATGTGCCACTTTGTAGCTTGCTCGCATGCAGTCACGGCGGAAGAGACAGCGAAGTTATTTGTAGAACACATTTTTAGGTTGCACGGGGTGCCATTGAGGGTGGTCTCAGACCGAGGAAAACAATTTACTTCCAGGTTCTGGAGGAAGCTCATGAGCTTACTGCAGGTGGAGGTCAACTTTTCGACTGCCCGGCACCCTGAAACCAACGGGCAGGCGGAAAGAGCAAACGGTGTCCTCCAGCAATACCTGAGGTGTTATGTCAATGACAGAGAGAATGACTGGGTAGAAAAGTTGGCGCTGGCGGAATTTGCCTACAACAATGCCGAGAATGTGTCCACAGGGATGAGCCCCTTCTTGGCTAATTATGGGTGTCATCCCAGGGCTTTCCCAGGGGAGAAGGGGAGAGATGGAGCGTACCGGCAGCCGAGCATTTTGTAGAAGAAATGGAAGCAATCCACCGTCAGCTCCAACTCAACTTAGAAAGGGCGAAGGAAGAATACAAGAGGCAGGCAGACAAGAACCGAAGGGAAGGTGAAACCATAAGGGTTGGAGATAGGGTGTGGCTGTCAACCCGAGGGTTGCCGTTCAAAGGAGGTTGTAAGAAATTACGACCCAGGAGGTTGGGTCCCTTTGAGGTCATTCAACAGGTCAACCCAGTGGCTTTCAGGCTCCGGTTACCCAACCACATGAAACTGCACCCAGTATTTCACAGGTCGTTACTGTCACCGTACGAGGGGGGACGAGAAGGGATGGCCACTCGGGGACCGGTCATAGAAG